CACAATTCACAGCGCTCACCATAGCACATACCTTCCCCAATGTCTATCACCCAGCCACCCCATCCCTCCCACCCCCCACCACTCCAGCAACCTCAGTTTGTTTCCTGAGATTAAAAATTCCTCATATCGGTGAGATCATATGATACTTGTCTTTCTCTGATAGGAATGTACAGTTTAGTTGTTTGTTCTGAACTTTGCAAAAAAGAGATCACGCTATATGTACTTTTCTGGGAGTTGATTTTCTTTTCATTCAGCTTCACATTACTGAAGTTCACTCTGTTGTTGGCACGTAGTTTCCTTATTTTTCCTGTTTAGTGATATTCCACTGTGTGAGTATACCACAGTGGATTTATCTCCTCTTTTGATGTTGGGCTTTGGACTCTTTTAAAGAGAGGGATGGAGAGTGGAGGAGTGGCAGGGGTGGGGAGAGAGAGAATCTTAAGCAGACTCTACACCCAGCCTGGAGCCTGATGTGGGGTTCTGATCTCACGACCCTGAGATCATGACCTGAGCCAAAATCAAGAGTTGGTAGCCTAACTGACTGAGCCACCCAGGTCTCCCATGGGCCTTGGATTCTTGTGAATGGGCTGCTGTGAACATTCTGGTGGTGTACACGGACGAGAGCTTGGCATATAGTTAGGAGTAGAATTTCTGGGTTGTAGAGTATGGGAGTATTCAGCTTTGCAGCAGAACACACCAGCTTGTTTTCTAAAGCTGTTACTAAATTATACTCCCACCGGCAATATATGAGATTCTGTTGATCCCTGTCTTCTCTAGCATTTGGTAAAGTCAGACTTCTGAATTTTTGCCAATCAAATGGTTATATAATGTTATCTCTGTGTGATCTTGATTTGCATTTTCCTGATCACCTATGAAGATGAGCATCTCCTCATACATTTACCATACTTGTTTTCCATTCTGTAAAATTCCTATTTGTTCAGCCTCTTTTGTTGTTTCCCCCCCCCTTTTTTTTTAACTGATTTACAGGAGTTCTTTCTGTATTTTGTATTAATGTTTTTACTGGACGTATAACTGCACCTTCCAGTATGTAAGTTAACTTTTATTTGCCTTAAGGTATCTTTTTTATGAACGGAAGGTTTTTTTCATGTTACTGTAGTTGTATTTATTAAATTTTTTTTTCCTTTATCATTAATGCTTTTTGTGTCTTATTATTCATTCCTCCTCCCCAACCCTGCCAAGTATCAGCTGTTTGCAGAAATGATGGATAAAAGAAGCAGGAATAAGATCCTGAATAATTTGAATCCATAGTCAATTTAAAGACTCCATTCCAGGCTGTGGTTTATGTGTCCTATCTCCCTAAGGTTTTCAGTATCAAAGGTTCCAGATTGGCTTAGTTGTAATTTCACTTCCTTTCACTTTCCTAACTATCTCTAGTGAAAGTGGTAATGAACCATGAAATGACCAAGTGGGAGAGGACCGGTTCCCAGAGGCACTATTGTATTGTGATAGTCAAAAGCTGATTCTTAATTTGGCTAAGAAAGGAGAGTAGGCCCAAAGATGGAAGGTACAAATATGAATCAAAATCCCTTTCCTGGGGCACCTGGGTGGCTCAGTCGATAAGCGTCTGCCTTTGGCTCAGGTCGTGATCCCGGGGTCCTGGGATCGAGCCCCGCATTGAGCCCCGCATCGGGCTCCCTGCTCAGCAGGGAGTCTGCTTGTCCCTCTCACACTCCCCCTGCTTGTGTTCCCTCTCTCGCTGTCTGTCAAATAAATAAAATCTTTTTAATAAATAAATAAATAAAGTGCTTCTGTTTTAAAAAAAAAATCCCTTTCCTTAACTATATATTTCTACTCAGATAAGTCCCATCTGACTGCAGTCAGCTGACTTACAATCACCTTCTGTTATTTTGTTTGTTTAGGTTTATTTGTAAAACTAGATCCTAAAAAAAGTTTGACATAAAAGAGCTTCTGGTGCATTCTACACCAATCTGCACTACTTCCCTCCAGAAGAAGCTGTTGTCTCCAGTTCTGCTCTACTTACCTACTTTTGAGTCCTCCAGAGGGTGAAGCCTGCTAACACTGATCTTCCTCAACAAATCTTCGGAATACAACTCCAGGAGCTCTATTTCCACCTTCTAAACTCTTTAACACAGAAGGACTCCGTGTGACAGTATCAGCAATTCTTAGTGTCTCCTTAGAATAAGTTTCTGGTTCTCCTAAATTTGAATGGGCTCCTTAAGGTTGCACAAGCATGATATTTCCCCCATTTCAGACTGAAGAAAAAATTCATATTGAAACTCTTACCACAAACTTGAAAATGCCAGAAAACCAAAGGAAGGAGTGTGTGTGTGTGTGTGTGTGTTATAAAGGGGGGAAAATCGGAGGGGGAGACGAACCATGAGAGACTATGGACTCTGAGAAACAAACTGAGGGTTCTAGAGGGGAGGGGGGGGGGGGGATGGGTTAGCCTGGTGATGGGTATTAAAGAGGGCACGTTCTGCATGGAGCACTGGGTGTTATACGCAAACAATGAATCATGGAACATTACATCAAAAAAGAAAAAAAGGAAGGAAGAAGAAAGAAAGAACAAGGCTAACTTTATTGTATCCAAACAAATGGTTTTGGCCACGGTAGGAAGTACGACTAGTTCCTATAGGAATGAATGAATACTTCAGATCTGGATCCTAGGGATTAAACAACCGTACCATTTTTAACATAAGCTGTCCTGTTGTGTCTTACCAACGACATAGTTGATCATCACTGGAAGGAACCTATATTTACTTCCTAGGTATCTTCATTCAGGCTGCTATAACAAAATATGACAGACTTGGGTAGCTTATATACAACAGAAAGTTATTGTTCACAGCTCTCGAGCCTAGAAAGTCAAGGATCAGAGCACCAGCACAGTCACCTTCTGGTGAGGGCTAGCTTACTGGCTTAGAGCTGGCACCTTCTCACTGTGTCCTCATGTGGTAGAAGGGGCTAGAGATTCTCTAGATCCTCTTATTAGGGCACTAACCCCACTCATGAGGGCTCCACTACTAATACCATTAGGATTTCAACATAGGAAGGCAGGGGCAGGAACAAATATTCAGGCCTTCACATTAGGCCTTCCATGACAAAGTACCACATACTGGGTGATTTGAAAAAACAGGGGAACTCATTGCCTCGCAGTTCTGGGAACCAGAAGTACAAAATCAAGGTTTCTACAAGGCCAAGCTCCCTCTGAAGGCCTCAAGCCTCTCTCCTGGCTGCTGGTAGCCTCAGTCATTCCTTGGTTTGTAGATGCATCACTGCTGCCTTCACATCATCTTCCCTTTGGCCAAATTTCCCCCTTTGTATAAGGACACCAAGTCATTGGTAGGGCCCACACTAATGACCTCACTTTAACTCAATTACCTCAATAAAGACCTCATTTCTGGGGCCCCTGGGTGGCTCAGTCAGTTAAGCATCTAACTCTTGGTCTCAGCTCAGGTCTTGATCTCAGGATCGTTGAGTTCAAGCCCTGCATTGGGCTCCACGCTGGTCGTGGAGACTAAAAAAAAAAGACCCCATTCCAAATATGCTCACATCATGAGGTGGGGGATTAGGACTTCAGCATACCTTTTGGGAGGACACAGTTCAACCCATAACAGAACCTTAAACAAATGAAAGATGAAAAAATGAATTGGGAGACTAATGTTCTAGGAAACCTATTCTACTTCTAATAGATTGAATAGAATCTACTGCAGATAATAGTCTGGGCTTCAGTTTCTTTCCTTTCTTTCCCCTTACTAAAAGTTTAGGTTGAACCGCATGAAATAGCCATTTTCAAAGATCAGAATGGTCAGATATTGACAATTTCCTATGGCTCGACCTAATGACTTAGGGATAGCCTTGTGGTGCCCTACCCAGTCATCCTTGCACAGCCAAAAGATCTGCTGGACTCCTCCACTGCCGGAGCTGACTGACCCTGGGATGGCCAAGCCCAAAAAAGACTCCCAGCCCTAGGGCCCACCTGCAGCTCCCAAGCTGCAAGAAGGCCCCAGCAGAGGATGGGGGTCACAGTGACGGTGAGGCTAGCAGTTCCCTGTCCCTAGAAATCCTGGTAGAGCCTGGGGAGGCACCTGGCCCGCAGCTGTGCCATTCGCATGTCTCGCAGCAGCCACCCTTTCTTCCTGGTCTTCATCTAATGACACTGGAGACCGCGGCCTCTTGTGGCAGCTCTCACAGCTTGCCCTCGTGGGTCGTAGGCATGTGTACAAACGTGAAGCTGAAGGAACGAGCCAGCACTGCTGTCCAGCTTCACTTAATTAGTAGAAAGGAGTTTAGACAGAGGGTACTTCAAAAATGTCACTTATTTGCACAGGCTTGCCACACCGCTAGAGCACACCAGGCCTTCACCCGAGCTAAAAAGCACCCAAATGAAAGAATGCCAGAGGACCAGTTTTTCTTCTGTTAAGTATGCGCACACCTCCCTCCCTCTCCGCATGTAAGGTTTGCTCACTGGTGTGATGGTGCCCAGGCCGCACTGTAGTATGCGGGTGCTGGGCCTGGCGTGGCACAAAGTCAGCCAAGGGAAAGCTCCGTGGCTGTGCCCGCAGGGTCCCGGGCTTGACCAAGCCCGCATGCTTGCCTTCCTCAGTCCTGGAGTACCTGGAATGCTCCAGAGCTTTGATTGCTTCCTGGTCTGTGGGCCGGAGTCCGGCACGAGGAGGTTGCTGTACTTGAGCAGTCCCCCGCCCCTGATCTCTTTGGGGTTCTTGGTGGCGATCAGTCTGTTCTGCAGGTGGTCGAAGTCTTTCTCGAAGTCCCCATACACACTCTCCCCGATCACCATGGGGTGGACGCGCTCAGAGATGGGGCTGCTGGAGCAGTCGTAGAAGAAGAGCAGAGAGTCCAGGATGATCTGAAAAGAGTCTGCGCTAAATTCAAACTGGCGCCGGATGGAGTCAACGAATTTCAGCTCCACGTTCTTCCCATTCCTGTTGGAGAGGGAAATCAGGCTCCAGCGGTCAGTGTCCGTGCAGACCTTCACCAGCTTCTGGACATACGCCTCCTTCAGGGTGACTGGGCTGATCTTGAGCTTGTTCATGCCCTCTAGCAGAAAGTTTGGAAGGGAGCACAGCACCACATCCCTGACCAGCTGAAATTCTGCCTCCGTGGGAAGAGCCACATGAAAGATCAGGTGCTGTCTTTGCAACACAGGCTGTTGTCTTTGACCAAGACGTGGCCCGTTGCAGAGCCGTTCAGCCTGACATCCTACACTTTGATGCCTGCCTCCTCCAGCCAGCCACACTCGAGGTGCCCCATGTGAGCATTTATTTCGGTGATGGGTTGCAGTAACTGCCCAGCAGCAGGAATGGGCTGGTGTGGAGAACAGACAGCAGGCTCCATCTGACCCCATGGCCCCCATGCTCATGGCCAAGGCCAGGACACAAGGCAGGCTGCAGGTGCCCCAGCACAGAGGTGAGGACAGCAGCTCCCTAGGATGTGGTGCCAGGCCTCCTGGCCATGCCTTACCAACTGGGGCTGTGGACCTGGTCCTGTGGGTCCCTCTGATCCTGACTTTTTGCAGGGACTGCAGGTCAGGAGGCAGATCGCACCCTGCGTAGACACCATTGGTAATGCTGTATTCCAGTAAAGCACCAAAACAGGGATGCAGAACATGAGGATTTCCCAGCACAATCAGCAAGGCTTTGGGTCTGGTGATTGCAACATTAAATCTTTTTGAGTTGGATAAGAAACCCAAAAAATACCTATCATCTTCAAATCTATCTTCATTTGACCATGCGGTGGAGATGATGATGACCAAATATTCTTGCCCTCGAAACTCCTCTACTGATCCGAACTTTATGTCCATCAGATCAACATTTCGCAAAATAATTTTGATTTTTTCCACCTGCTTCCGGTAGGGCATGATCACACCGATGTCACTTGCAGACACTTGGCTGGTGATGCCCCTGGCCAGGAGGCAGCAACAGCGCATGACCTGAACCACGATGGGCTCCTCCCTTCATGAGCTTTGCTGCCCTTCACGCCATGAAAATGAGGGGGAAGCCTTTCTCTGGTAACTTCTCCCAGCCCAGCAGGGAGGTCACCCCACTTCAAGCTCTCTGTGGTAGAACAGCCCGGACAGCAGCACCAGCAGAGCTGGGTGGGATCTATAGTTTCTCATGAGCTTTGTAACCAACAGGGGGTTGTAGGCACCAAAAGCATCTTCATCCCTCAGATATGCTGGCCGGGACATCAGTCTTTCCAACACAGAAACATTCAGCCCATAAGCCATGGCGAGTCTAGACTTGATGATGGGTCCAAACTGCATGGGGTCTCCGGCAAGGACAGTCTGGCCGTTGGCCTCTGAAACCAGCCCCAGCGGAATAAGGCATTCCGGCTCACTCGCCTGTCCTGCTTCGTCCACAAACACATGTGTAAAATGTCCAAGTCTCCCTCCTATTTGGTAAAAGAGACCCCTGCTGCTGCATGTCATGCTTATGATCCTGAAGTGCAAGGCCTTCCAGATATCTTCTCCAACTTTGCAGTCCGGTTTGATGGCATCAGTGACTGTCTCCTTGAACCTGCCCAACTTTGCAGTCCGGTTTGATGGCATGAGTGACTGTCTCCTTGAACCTGCAGGTGGCATTTACATGGACCATGGTGCCAGGCCACAGCACCTGGCTCTCGTGCAGCCACAGACACACGAGGTCGGCCGCACTGTTGGAGGGTGCCCAGACCAATATTCGACTGTCCCGCAAAGCGTAGTTCACTGTAAAACAGCCTCTAGAACCGTCACCGTCTTCCTGGTTCCAGGAGGTCCAGAAAGAATATACGGGAGTGGGCGGCAGTCGCCACTCAGGATTCTTCTAGCCGCTAACTTCTGGTTTTCATTGAGCACAGGATTGAAAAATTCCTTCTCTCGCCTTGGGGATCTGAACTTCGTTTACTAGATCAGTTGACTTTTCAGCAAAGGCCACTGGCCCCAGCGTGTCCTGGGCACCAGCCCGCCTCTCCTTTGCTGCGTGCTTAGTATGGTCCTTCAGGGCTTTCCTATTCTTGATGGTGGACTGTCCATTGTTTTTGGTGTCTTGTGCATCGTTCCAATTCCCTGTCACTTGGGGAGACTGTAAAATGATTTCTTCTGGAAACAACACTTTAACAGCTAAGTGGGTGACGTGTTCTAGTGCAAAGTGACACCATCTGCTTGTAGTCCTGTTATATGTGAATTCCACATCCATAGGCTCAAAGTTATATGCTTGCTCAAATTCTGGGTTAAGTTTAAGAATTATGTATCTTCATGAATCTCAGTCACATAGCCAAGTATTTGATGACATGTCCGTTGTACTCTTGAGTTTTTAAAATCAGCTTATCACCTGCGAACAGAGAAGGCCTACTTTCAGCCAATCCTGGGACCTCCAGAACCAGCAGGTCACCCTTTCTTTTCAAGGTGACCCCACTCATGTTATACTCTTTCAGTTCTATTTCTGCATGAATCTCAAGTCAAAGTCGAAAACTTTTCCTTGTAGTTCTGATAAGGAAAATCTGTGTCCTAAGATGGCCGACTGAGCCAGAGAGAGAGCCCCAGTCCTTGCCCCAGGGCTCTTCCGGGTTCTTCCTGCTCTGCTTCCCACGAGCACCAATCTGGGTTCTTCTCCCTGCCCCGCTTCGCGCATGCACCAAAAGTGCCCAGTATGCGGAAGTAGATGTGTATAAATTGCCCCCTTTGTGCTCGGGGCTCAGACCTTTGGAGA